TATATATATATATATATATATATATATTTATATATAAGAAGCTTCGCCATGACCTAGCAGAGCCGGTAGCAGAAGACGGCACCTCTGCTTCCCGACAGACGTTTTCGTCTTGCAGGCGCCCGAAGACGACGCCGTCTTCCTGTTCTCACGTCGTCTCCTAACCGACGATGTGGTCTTCTAACCGACGACGCGCCTCTCTGCTCGCATTCGCCTTCCTCCTCGACAGACGTTTTCGCACGTCGTCTCGCAGAAGGACGCGCCTGTCTGCTCGCATCCTGCCCAGAAGACGACTTCTTTTGGCATTCTGCCCGACTCTTTCTGTCAGCAACCTCGCTAACTCCGACAGCTCCTCTGATGACACTTCATTCTTCTGTGATTGAGCCGGACAAAGTCTCATTTGCCCACGTGGTGGGTAACCCTCAGGTGGAGTCCGCTGTGATATTTCCTTCAAGTTATAAGAAATGTTGTGAGAGTACAAATTATTGTCCTTTTGTTAAGAAAGGAAGTAGGAAAAGTAGAAAAACAACAATCTTTTTCTATGAATCGAAAATTTCTACTATGAAGGAAAAATTCAAGTTGGTTTTCATTGGAAAATTTCAGTGGGGACACACTCTTATGGATGGTATTGGAAAGAGTTTGATGATCTTAAGCTAGTAGACAAGTGGAAAGTGAGTCTCATGAATGAGAGACATGTGTTGTTCCAACTAACAGTGACTGAAGACTACACTAAAATTTTCTCCAAGAAATATCTTAATATCGCAGACAAATCAATGAAGTTACTTAAATGGTCTCCTGATTTCGACCCAAATCATGAAACTCCCACTGTACCGATATTGTTTAGTTTACCTGGTCTTAAGCTGCATTTTTTTCACCATCAGGTTCTCTACTCTATTGGGGTCATCCTTGGGGATCCTTTGAAGCTAGATCTGCCTACTTTCAACCTAACCAGACCCTCAGTGACAATAATACTTGTGGATAGGGATATTACTTTATCTGATGTTACTAAAATTTGGCTGGGCACAACTCATAATGGTTATTGACAACAAATCGTCATGGAGCACAGACCTCCATATCGTACTCACTGTAAGATGTTTGGTTATGTTCTTGA